ACTAGCCTCTAAGATCCATGGGGCAAACATTTTATTTTTAATTCATCTTTGTACACACAGGACTTAATAAATAAAATACCCTTCTTAGTAGATGCACAATCAACATTTGTTGAACAGAATGAGTTATGTTTTTATATATTATGCTGTTTTCTAAACACCTAAAATGCCTACAAATTCTCATTATAATACACTTGCATTAAAATTTGAGTTTGATCCAACTCCAATGTTGAATACAAGTCTCATTATTATTATTATTTTTATATTTATTTTTAGGTGTAGTTGGACTCAATATCTTTATTTTATTTTTATGTGGTGTTGAGGATCGAACCCAGGGCCTCACACGTGCTAAGCGAGCACTCTACCGCTGAGCCACAACCTCAGCCTACAAATCTCATTATATTTTATCATTATTGGGGAAACACTTGATAAAGAGGTTAACCATCCATGAACAATTTTCTTACTTATGAATGACAACTGTTCTGATGAACAAACGAAGGGGAAACAAACACATGAAAGGAAAAGAGAATGTTATCTGACAGTATTTTTCTCCTGAGGGAAAAATGAAATGGCCATTTCTAAATCTCTTTTTCCTTTAAAATCTCTTTCTCTAGTTAAACATGACTTAAAATACACAGTTTCCTTCTTCCTTCCTTTCTTCCCTTTCTTCCTTCCCTCTCTCTTTTTGTATCATTCTCTCTCTCCTCTTTTTTTTTTCCCCCTTTGCAGTTCTGAAGATAGAACCCTGGGCCTTATACATGCTTGGCAAGCATTTTAATTTTTTTGGCAGTTTGAAAATTTTATTTCATTAACTTAAAAGGTAAACAAAACGTGTATTTAAAATCTTATTAAACTTTTATCTGACATACATAGAGGACAAACAGGATTTCAAGTGACTTATGAGACAGTCCACTGCCATTTAAAAATATTATTTTTTCTACAAAACCTCTTAATTGAAAGACAAAACAAAACCACCAAAGCAACAAATACCTTGTCTTTTATACTGTACAACTGCTAGATGCAAACTTCTGATTTATTTATTTCATTGTCAACTCTGATGATGAAGATGGGAGGCAGAAATGTTCCCAGTGCAGTCAAATGATGAAAACAAAAAGCTGTTTCCCTCAGATACAAAGAAGTTTTCTTCATTCATGTCTCTTACAGTAGGATCATATACTTGATGCTCATACCAGATCACTTCTTCTTTCCTTACTCTTTTTTACTTCCCTCTCCTTGCTGAAGACTTGGGTCACCATCTCCTGTTTTTTGTGTCCTTGTTTTTAGCTTARGTATCATTTCTGCTGCATACAACATTACTGATTTACGTGAAGGGAACTGTACAAGACAGAGGCTTGGCAAGCATTTTACCACTGAATTATGCCCCAGCACATTTTTATTTTTGAGACAGGTTCTTGCTAGATTACCCATGTTGGCCTTGATTTTGTTCCTCTTGAGTAGCTGGTATTGCAGAAGTGAACCACTGCACCTAGCCCATTTGCTTTTTCCAAGGACCTACATTAAAGGAAACTCTTTTGAAATTTCAAGGGATCAGGGATGGTTAATTTATTTTTATGATAGGCAAAACATTATTAATTTGTTTTATAACTTAATTTTATATTTATATTGTCTTAGTTTATATTGATATCAATAAATAGCTTAATATTCTAATTTAATAATAAAGAAAATCATTTCATTAAAGTTGATTTCTGAAATAACATAGTTAATTCCTGACAATTTCCTCACACCAGTGAGTTTTCTAATCTTTATTTTTGTTAATGAGGAATTAAAAAAAAAGAAAAAGTTGAAGCCTAATTATCTGTGTATCTATCTACCTATTAAAAGAATGTGAGTATGGGGCTGGAGTTGTGGCTCAGCGGTAGTTCACTTGCCTGGCATGTGTGAGGGACTGGGTTTGATTCTCAGAATCACATAAAAATAAATAAAATAAAAGGCCTATCAACAACTAAAACAATATTTAAAAAAGAATGTGAGTAAATTATGGAGAATGAAAGGAAACTGTATAAAAACTCTTTTTGTCTAAATAGAGTCAGGACTAGAGAGCTAAATCTGGCATCTAATATTTCACTAAATTTTAGGTCTTTTCATATAATTTGTTAGTTTAGCTAGGATAATTTTAAAGTATTTTAACGCTGAAAGAAGTACATTATCACGTAGTAAAAAGAAGACTGTAATTGACACCTGAAGCCTATCCCTTTTCTGCTTTTCTTAGAGTTTCCTTGCAGAAAAATTAAAGTGTTTGTACAGATGCTCTTTAATGTTCATTGCAGTTTGAATATTTTATGACTGAATAAAGTCCTTTACTTATAAGATTTACTTAATTCTTTTGTGTTGTTTCTGCATGAAAAACTAGTAAGAAACAATATTTTATTCATTTTGCATTAAGCAACTTTTTAGGGGGGAAGGAACTACATGTTATTGGCAGTAAGTTCTTAGGAGCTTTGGCTACTGGGATTACATGTTTAAATACAACTCCAAAGGTAAATTATTAGAAATGGAAGTTGTTGATTAAAAATTGAAAACACTGGAGAAAACTACTATGATAGTTTGGATGTTGACTATTCCCCCAAAGGACCATGTATGAAAGGCTTGGTCTCCAGCTGGGAGGTGCTGTGGACTTTTTAGAAAGAGGAAGCTTGTAGGAAGGAGTTCCTTAGGTAAATGGAAATACGCTCTTGAAGGGCACTGTGGGGCTGCAGTCCCTTCCTCTTCCTTCTTTTTTGTTTGCTGGCTTACTGTTTGTTTTCCTATGTGCTCTCACCATGATGTGAGACTCAAAGTCATAGGGCTGGAACCTCCAAAACATGAGTTAAAATAAGCTTTTTCTCTTTATGAGCTAATTGCCTCAGGCATTTTGTTATCATGATGGAAATATGACTAATACAAATTACCTTTCCACTATCTTTCTATAAACTTGTTCTCAATATGCTACTAGTAAAACAGCAACAAATAAGATAGATGAAGCAGGGAACTGAGATTAGACTGATTATTTAGTGATTTATGAATAGTGTATTTTTTCATAGGTTACATTAAAATATACATGGTCTTCAACTTAAAATGGGGTTATGTTCTGATAAACCCATTGTACATTGAAAATATCAGTAAGTCAAAAAATGCATTTAGTACACCAGCCTACTGAACATCATAGCTTAGAAACACAGTACTGTTTATCCTGGTAACCACATAGCTGACAAGGAGCTGCAGATTGCTGCTACTGCTGCTTATTATCGCAAGATACTATCATACCACATACTGCTATCCCAGGAAAAGATCCAAGTATAAGATTCAAAGTATGGTTTTACTGACTGTATATTGCTTTTGCACATAATAAAGTTGAAAAACCGAAAGTCAAATCGTTGTAAGTCAGGGACTATCTGTGTTTTCTAAAACATGATTTTAAGACACATTAGCTTTTTTGAGATAATCATGTTTATTGTTTTATTTTTTCTGTTTATTAGTTTGTTTATCAGTTTTTTCAAGAAAATCTAATATGTATTATAATCATGTTTATCTGTATTAGAAAACACAGACAGAAAATGGGCTAAGGAACTGAAAAGAGAATTCACAGAAGAATACAATCAAGCAACAAATGTATTAAAAAATGTTCAACATCTCTAGCAATTAGAGAAATGCAAATCAAAACTACTCTAAGATTTCATCTTTCATCTCACTTCAGTCAGATGGTAATTATCAAGAATACAAGCAACAGTAACTGTTTGCAAGGATGTGGGGAAAATGGTACACTCATACACTGTTCATGGGATTGCAAATTGGTGCAACCACTCTGGAAAGCAGCATGGAGATTCTTTGGAAAACGTGGGATGGAACCACCATTTGACCAGCTATCCCACTCCTTGGTCTATAGCCAAAGAACTTAAAATCAGCATAATACAATGACACAGCCACATCAATGTTTATAGCAACTCAATTCACAATAGCTAAACTATGGAACCAACCTAGGTGCCCCTAAAACAGAAGAATGGATAAAGAAAATGTGTTATATATATACAATGGAACATTACTCATCCTTAAAGAGATTGAAATCATGGCATTTTCTGGTAAATGGATGGAGCTGGAGAATATCATGCTAAGTGAAATAAGCCAAACCCAAAGAACCAAAGGTCAAATGTTTTCTCTAATATGCGGATGCTAATTCACAATAAGTGAGGGAATGGGACTGGGAACAAAAAGAGGTACTTTGGATTATACAGATGGGAGTGAAGGGAGGAGAGAGGGTATGAGGCTAGAAATGATAGAATGAATTGGGCATTATGACCCTAGGTGCACATGTGATTACACGACCAGTGTAATTCTATAACATATACACCAGAAGAATGAGAAGTTACACTCCATTTAGGTATGATGTGTCAAAATGCATTCTACTGTCATGTATAACTAATTAGAGCAACAACAACAACAAAAAGACATTATTTATATCCCATTTCTGACAGAGAAGTCATCAGACAGACTCAGAGTTAACTATTTTCCTCACTCAGCAATGATAGCTCAGTCTTTAGAGTACTGGTATTTTGAATCAGAAACACACCTGATATCTCCCCCAAAACTTTTATTTTTTTGTTACCGGGGATTGAACTCAGGGGGCACTTGACAGCTGAGCCACATCCCCAGCCATATTTGGTATTTTATTTAGAGACAAAGTCTCACTGAGTTGCTTAGTGCCTTGCTTTTGCTGAGGCTGTCTTTGAACTTGTGATCCTCCTGTTTCAGCTTCCCAAGCCACTGGGATTACAGGCGTGCTCTACTGTGCCCGGTTCCCCCCATTTTTATGAAAAGCAACCTTTATGGTGTTATACTTTGTATAATGTTAAGTCTGACCGTATAGTTGAATAGAAATAAAAAACAAAAAGAATGATTATAATTGTGACAGTGATAAACAATTTTTATCTTTTAGGGCAATTATACCTTCGTGTTTTATGAATCTTAGAAAAAAAAAAGAAGAAATAAAAGGGCAAATATGACAGTACCTCGGTAATTGATGATTTCTGTCCCAAGCACCGGAGTCATCTCCAGGACTGTGATAAAGGCTTTGTCCATAGATGTCAGAGGAAAAGGAGACATGCGGTGTCTTCTAGCCACCTTGGTGATATCAACAGCACTGTGACCTAAACAGGAAGATAATTAACTGAGAATATGATGCTGAAACACTGATCAAAAAGTGGAAATGACTTATAAATATCAGTAACTCCTAATTTCAAATGAATATTACCAGAAACTTTCTTTCCTTCTTCCAAAACACAGCTTGCTCTGTGTGAAAAGTTAGCATTGTTATATCATATACCCAAAGCTGGTGAAATTTAATGATACTGGCTAATGCTTTTTTTGTCAAGAGACTGTAGTAAATAAACTCATTAATCTTCACAACCACATATGGTGAGGCACCATTCTTATCCTTACTTACAGATGAGGGAAGACAGGCTTTGAGAGGCTGTATGTATACCTTTGTGTAAATCTCAGAACTAGTAACAGAAGAGCCAGGAGTCAAATGTAGGTAGTCTTGGCTTTAGAGTTCATGTGCTCTACCACTGTTCTCAACTTTGAATACTAAAGAAACTAGTTAGCAAAATTAAGTTTTAAAACATCAATTTTTAGGTTATACAGGAAATTTTCTTTCCTGTGTAAAAATGCATGGAAAATATTATTTTTATTTTTCTACTTCCTATATGACCATTCTAGTCCCATGGCATTAATATCACCCATATACTAAAACAACCAATTTTTTACCTCCAATTTCAGCTTTTACCCTCAACTCTAGATTTGTATGTCAACCAATAGCTATGAGATGGTATATATTTTCAGACTTGGAATCACTTATCCAGCATGTACTTGAATGTGTATGTCAAACATAAAGAGCCCAAAATTAAATTCTCAATTCTCAACCCTCCTATTCTACCCATATGATATCTTATTCTTGAGCAATTAACATCTCAGTCATCAACAGTAAATCAATTATTTCAGCTATTATGCCAAAACCTTGGAGACAACCTTGAATCTTCTCTTTTTGTCATAGCAATATTTGAAATATATTAGAACCTGATTATTGTCACTTCCACTGGTACTGCAATAGTTGGAACTATTGCTTATGTCCTGGAAAACTGAATAGCCTCCTAACTGGTCTCCTTGCTTCTATCCTTGTTCCACTTCAGTTTCTTCAGAGTAATTTACAGTGATCCTTTTACATTTTACATTGGACTGTGCAAATCTCTGCTTACAACTCTCCAAAGACTTTCTACTTCAATTACAGTAAAATCTTTGCTAGGTCCTATAAGGCCCAACTTATTATCACTTCTACTGTTCTTACCTCCTAATATTTCCTTCCTTGTTCACTGTGCTATAGCCATACCAGTTCCTTCCTTTACAATGATCCTGCTAAATTTATCTCCCCACAGGGCCTTTAAACTTGCTGTTTCCTCTCTTGAACCATCTATTCCAGATAGCATCATCCATCCCCCATTTCTTTCAAGTCTCTGCTCAGATTTCACCTCATCAAAGTGGTATCATCAGTATTATCAGAGAGGCATTCCTTGAATACCCTATATATAATACTGCCTACTATTAGTTCATTTTACCCCACTTAATTTTTTTCAAACACACACAGATGTTCATAACCATATAAAAATACATCAAATAATTATTTGTTGAATTAACAAAGGAATCATTTAATGACAAAAAGATTTCTTGGGGCACTATATCCTCATGCATAAAAAAAATTGGCCTTAACCTTGGAAGCTTATAAATGTACAGACCAAATGGTAAAGAGAAAGGAGTAATACAAACACTATTGGTTGGCTGTCCTAATTGCTATTCACAGCCTCCTTTTTCTTCCCTAGCCACTCTGCAAGTTAGGAGTAGTGTTATGATATATGATATTTTGGCCATTAAGATGCCCCTGGGGGCAATAATCTTATTACAAATAAAGAGATAAAGAGACAAAGTTTTAAAAGAAAACAGCTTTTTCCCTGCTACCTTCTTTCTACCTGTAACATGGCTGGATACTGGGAGCCATTTTTCAAGTATGAGAATGTAAGCCCACACAGTAATGGAAACAGGAGGACAAAAAAAGAGTCTGAGTCTCTGATGAAAAAGATGAGTTGCTAGGCAAGCCTGTGGACTCCCTGCCTCTAAACTTTTGATATGGGAGATAAATAAGCTTTTAATGCTTTAAACCACTTTATAATGATTACACATATCCTTCAGAAGATCATCATTGCATCTTATTAAATTTAGCACTTTACTCCAACCCCAGCAGCTGCTCCAGAAATGCTCACTGAATTGGCTTAAAGGCACTACCCCAAAGAGTTTCTATGATTAATAACAATATCATAAATCACCCCCAAAAGACACAGAAAATTACTTATACTCTCAGTATGACATTTCTTTTCATGGATAATCAAGATCACAAGAATTCAAAGCTTGTAGGACTTTATAGATTATTGTGTGGTAAATATGAATAATATTTTCTATTCAGAATAGTAGGTAAACATTTAAAAAAGACTTATGTATGATTTGTCACATATAATTGAAATGTAAATTTACTTATAACACTTTTTTTGAGGTCTGGGACTAGTCAATCAAATATCATACAAACACACTGTCCCAACTAGTGTAATTGAAAAGAATGATAGAGATAGCTGCTTCTGCTTTCTATTCAACGATATAGGTCTCAGATATCTTTCTATGATATGCTGCACTTAATGGTGCAAATTTTATGTAATCTTATAAAAACTGTCCTCAAAAATGTTTAGTTTCTGAGAAGAAAACTATATTTTAATTGTATAGTTTATCTGTTGAATATGCTTTGTAATGGTATAAAAATAATTTTTTAAAGATCAGACAAATATATATCAAGTGTATTTTATATGAACTAGGTCCAGCAGAAAAGAAAGACATGCAAATAAATAAATAATAAGAGCAAAGGTTTGTAAACTACATGATGGTCCTTTAACTGCAGAGACTGGTAGTTATTATTTTCTTGTTTGTGAATTGCAGCATGAGTAGCTACTAGCTAGGAAATATCACTTTCATTTCTAAAATACTTTTACCTTGTAAAATTATTTGTACCTTGTACATAATTATACCTTGTACCTTGTTTATAATTCTTCTGGCACTTACCACTCACCATATTTTGCTATAGATATTTAAATATCTGCCTCACCTCTGTTAGATTATGAACTTGAAGGCAGAGCCTATAAGCATATTAATCTTTGTGTCTGTTGTCACTTTTAGAACAGTGCCTCCCTCATGCTTATGAAAGCAGATCTTATAAACAGAAAGTCCAAAGTTGGGAAGAAAAAAGCGAAGTGGTGCTTCCTGCTTTGTCCTTTTACTTCTCTAAGCCATGAATATTTATAAACTGTGTCACAAAGTGACTACCTTATTGGGTAAATAATTCATACATTTAAAAATAGGATAAACATTTAATTTTAAATTGAAATTAAATTTACTTTTAACTAATATATAAAGCAAAATTATACATATTAATGTGATACCATGTGAAGTCTCAACACATGTATATACATTGTGTAATGTTTAAGTCAGGTTGAACATATATGTCTCCTCAAACACTTATTAATTTTTTATGATGAAAATATTCAGAATCCTTTCAAGAAAATAATAACTACCAATCTTTGCAGTTAAAGGACCATCAGGTAGTACTCCACTGTGTATATGTATCACATTTTCTTTTTCTTTTTTTATAATATTTTTTACCTTAGTTGTTGATAGATCTTTATTTTGTTTATTAATATGTGGTGCTGAGAATCGAACCCAGTGCTTCACACATGCAAGGCAAGTGCGCTACTGCTGAGCCACAGTCCCAGCCCTGTATCACATTTTCTTTATCCATTTATCAGTGGATGGATACTTCAGTTGTTTCCATTTCTTGACTATTGTGACTGGTGCTGCAATGAACATGGGAGTGAGTGCGAATGTCTCTTGGACAGAGTGATTTCACTTCTTTTGGAAACATACTCAGTAATACCTTGCTAGATCATATGATAGTTATATTTTTAATTTTTTTTGAGTGAAACTACATAATGTTTTCTACAAATGGCTGTACTAATTTTTATGCCCACCAATAGAGTGCAACAGTTCCCTTTCTCCACTACATCAGCAGCATTGTTATTGTTAAGTCTTTTTGATAATAACCATTCTTACTGGGATGAGGGGATATGGTAATACATGGCTTTGATTTGCATTTCCATGATGACTAGTAAGGCTAAACATTTTTTCACACATCCTTTTGCCATGTTTGTCTGCTTTCGAGAAATGTCTATTTAGGACTACTGCCCATTTTTTCATTCGGCTATTTGGGAGTTTTAGCGCTTCTGAGTTTTTGGAGTTTTTTTAGTTAAAGAATTAAAAATAGTATATATTTAAGACATATGATATGTTGTTTCGAAATTTTTATACATTGTAGAATGGCTATTTGGAAGTCAATGGGTTAATACTGGTCCTTGTCTATAGTATTTGCAAGTTAGTCCAGGGATCTTCTAAATATATAATAAGTTAACTGCAAGGAATGTCTCAAAGGAGGATAATTTTAATTTTATGGCACATTAGCAGGTAGAGGTGTGTGTCCACACATGTGTGTGTGCATATATATATATTTTCAACAAAAACTTATTGAGTACATTTCATATGACAGGCTTCTTCTGACTCATGATCTGTACCAAATCACATAGTATTATGAACAGTCAGCTACTTCATCAATAAAGAAGAGTTAACTTGGTCCCATAAATGTGAGGAAAACTATGTTTGTGATTTTTTCCATTTGAGAATAACATGAATGAAATAGATAAGCTAACGGAATGGCTAATGTATCTTTACCATACCCAGTTCTCTTAGATCCTTCACCAAATGGAGGAGGATTATATATCCATTTAAAAAGAACCCATTTAGGGACTGGGGATTAACTCAGTGGTAGAGTGCTTGCCCAAGTTCAATCATTAGGGAAAAAAAAATTAACTAAAGATTGTAGCCAAAAAGTTTGAAAACTATTGGTTCAGTGCTCCATTTTCAAATCAAAAGTGGGTGAATAATGCTCCAGGAAATGTCCTAGGGAAACACAGAATGGAACTAGCAGCTGGAGCCCTAGGCTTAGTAT